TTTCTTTCTTTCTTTCTTTCTTTCTTTCTTTCTTTCTTTCTTTCTTTCTTTCTTTCTTTCTTTCTTTCTCTCTTTCTTTCTTTCTGTAAGCAATTGGGGTTGAGTGATTTGCCCAGGGTCACACAGCTAGTACAGCCTCAAGTCTGAGGCTGGATTTGAACTCAGGTCCTCCTGACCTCAGGGCCGGTGCTCTATCCAATGTACCATCTAGCTGCCCTCAGTTTACCCAGTTATAAAAATAAGTGTGCGATATAATTCCTGCCCTACCTTCTTCCCAGGACTGTGATGAGAAAAAATACTTTGTAAATCATAAAACAGGAGTGGTAATGATTTGTTGCTGTTGTAATGGAAGGCACACCATGCTGAAGGCCCCTGGCTGCTTAGAAGTCTGATTCAGTCTCTAAAAGCCTGTGGGGGTGGTAGTCAGGGAGGAGTGAGATCCACAGAAAAGGGGAAGGGTGCTAGGCCTAAGAGAAAAAACTCTTTCTGGAGCTGCCTGAACCACTGTGGCGGCCCAGTTCCAATTTGTGTCCCAAGAGAGTGTTAGGAAAAGTCCAGAGGAGAGACCTGGCAGGTGGACGCGGGCCCAGACCTCACGAGGCTCAGGTTTTCAAAGTGACCTGGCTCTATATAGCGCTCTTCCTTGATGTTAAAGAGAACTGGCCAATTAAAGACGCCCTAAGAAGGGCAAGCCCACTGTGTTGGAGACAATGTTGGCCAGCTCTAGGGGAGGCCACCCGCAGCAGGACAGACTGGGTTCTCCGTTTCTCTGAAGGGGCATGTGCCTACTCAACCAGAACATCCTTCCTTCTCTCAGCCCATCTGGACATAGGGCAGGTATCTCTTATTTTCATTCAACTCAAAATATAGAATCTTGACTTTACATATTTGGCAAGGACCCTAGGATCATCAATCTAGGGATGGAAGGGGCCTTAAGAGAGCATATGGTACTACCGATGATAGGAACCGAAGGTGGACAGAAGTGAATTGACTAGCCCAAGGTTGCCTAGGAAGTAACAAAATTGAACCCAGATGTTCAGCCTTCAAATCTATTGGTCTATGAATCTGTGAAGTGTTGTTCAGTTGTTTCAGTTGTGACCCACTCTTCATGACCCCTGTTAGGGTTTTCTTGGCCAGAGTGGTTTGTCATTTCCTTCTCTAGCTCATTTTACAGATGAGGAAACTGAAGCAAATGGGGTTAAGTGACTTGACCAGGGCCACACAGCTAGTTAGTGTCTGAAGCTAGATTTAAACTCAGGAAGATGAGTGTTCCTGACCCTAGGGCTCACGCTGTAGCCACTGAGACACCTAGCTGCCCACTGTGAAGTTCAAATTCTCTAATTTAAGGGATATTTGGAGTGGAGGGCATCCTATGTTAGGCAGTGGCAGCTGTCAGCACAGGGTGATGTAACGAGCCAGCCATGGCAGACATTATAAATAATGCTAGGTGTTAACAATAATAATGTAAGCTCCCAGAGGGCAAGGACTGTTTTGTTTTTGTCTCTGCATCCCTAGTGCCTAGTACAGTAGTGAGTGCTTAACATTTTATTTATTTGTTTGGTTTTTATTTATTTATTTATTTTTAACATTCCTTTAAAAAAATCAGTTCTATAAGTGCTTGTTGGTCGATGGATTGATTTATATAACACTTTATAGTATACTAAGTGATCTACATATGTGAATGTATTGGAGTCTGGGGAGGTAGGTAGCACAAGTGCTATTATTCCCATTTTACAGATGACAAAAACAGGGGCTCAAAACAAGTAGAGGTTCAGTGACTTGCCCAAGGCAACAAAGCTAATTAGGTGTCAAAGACAGGATTTCTGAGTCCAAGATCTAGTTCTCATTCTGTGCTATCACTGTTCCTTTCTCCTCCAAATAAGTGGAAGAAAATCACAGCTAAATGCCAGGAGAGCCCTAGGTAGGGAAGTTTGTATGGTATACAACAGTAGTTCTCAGTTTTTTGATCTTTGGACCCTTCACACTCCTAAAAATGATCAAGGACTCTCCCCAAGGAGCTTTTGTTCATGTGGGTTGTATTGATCAATATTTACTATATTAGAAATGAAAACATCTTAGTGTTATTGTGAAAATAGTTTTGACCTCAAAGACACCCTGAAAGGGTCTCATGGACCATTCTTTGAGCAATGTTGGTCTAGAGGAAGCTGAAGAACAAATGACCCCTTCCATCTGAAGCATTTCCCCATGATTTGTGGCAGCTCTTGGCAGTAACTCTCAGATGTGTTGTGAATAAGACCCGCATTGCCTGGGTCTGTTCATCAGCTGACAGAAGACCAGGCAACATATGAGGGACCATAAGACCAAGGGAGGGGTCAGCTGGGCCACCAATCCATAGCAAATAGAGTGGGAGGTTGAGGGGAAAAATGGCCCCCCAAGGCATTCTGAGAGATAGAAAAGTAGGTGGATGGGTGGAAAGATGGATGGAGGGATGATGAATGGACGAATGGATGGATGGGTGGGTGGGTGGAGGCAAGGAAGGGATGGATGGATCTACATAACCCAGAGGCAATACAGTCAAGAAGAGAGGTAAAAACCAGGGATGGAGAACAATAAACTGCAACTGCTGATTTCTTTCTCTCTGGGGACCTTTCTTTGCCATATCTACACAGCTGCAAAATGTACAACTCCTACTAGGTGCAACACTGTTGGTATAGAAGTGTCTGGAAGGCCATTAGGATGACACCCTTAGATTCCTTCTTCACCCCAGTTCTTCACTCAAGTCATTTGGGAGATATTTTTCCTTCCGTGGGAGCACTTAATTTTGTAAGAGAACCCACTAGATTCATTTTGATTCATTTTACATGATTATCATTTACATGATTCATTTTACATATGCTTGCTTTAAATTGAGATCTGGAACATTCATGTTCCTTAAAGAAATGAAAGGGAGGAAGGAAACAAGAATTTATTAAGCACCTACTATTTGCCAAGGCACTGTACCAAGCATTTTAAAAATATTATCTCATTTGATCATCACATCAACCATGTGAGGTATGTGTTGCTATTATCCCCATTTTACAATTGAGGAAACTGAGGCAAACAAAGGTTATATGACTTGTGCAGGGTCACACAGCTAACAAGGCTGGATTTGAACTTAGGTCTTCCTGACTCTAATTTCAGTGGAGTCACTATACCACTCACTATACTACCTAGCTACCTAGAAGGAGTCACTTTTCATCCAGATTGATTTTTTTCCATGACTCAGATCCATTTTGCATCCTGACTCCCTGGGGGAGAGAAATGGTCAAGGGCTTAGATAGCAGGTTCTGTCTCTCTGAAGCCTTTTCAAGATCCCCAAATGCTTCTCCAGTCATGATCTCATGATGGAACCTTCTGCCTTTGCCCATTTCTACCTGTTCTCATCCCTTTGGAATGACCCTAACTTGGGTCATGGGCTTGAACCCTCTCTGATTGCCCCCAAACACAAACCCTTTCAGCTCCAGTAGAGGTGCCTATCCTGGTTCCCTCTTGATCATATCTGGTTCCATCTGTACCACATCTGCTTGTGGACTGACCACTTCTTTGAGAGGCAGCTTCCCCTCTCCCTTGCTGAGAGAGCACAAAATAAATCATCCCTTACCTGGAAGCTGGGAGCTGCCTGATGATTTGGAGCATCTGAGATGAGCAGTCTGGTGTATATTTCTCCTCTGACGTCATGAAGAGAGTCTACTCATCTCTCATTGCTGACAGACACAGTGGTTCCAGGATTTGTGGGGCAGGATCAGGCACAGAGACCAATACTCAATCTGCAGAGAAAGAGAAAGGAAGTTCTGTAAGGGAGACGGGAAGAAAACAATGCCGGTAACAGCTCAGTCATCTAAGAGAGACCCTGGTCATCAAAATGGGCCATCCTTTGGGTTGATGGAGAGATCATCTATGAAAGGATGAGAAAGAAAACAGGACATAGCTCCCAAACAGATCCCATCATCTGTTGGAATTAATCAGTTGAAAAGCCAATCTATCAGTGGGGTAGGATGGAAACAGAAAGACCCTTGCAGACAAGAAAAGCAGGACCATCTCAGAGGAGACATGGTAATGGGAAACCTTACTGATATGTAGAGCCTTACTGATTTTTTCCTTTCTGCAAACTCCTACATTACCATCCATTTAGTATTTACCTTAGTTTATTTGACACATTTATTCTTTTTTAAAGGATATAACTCAAATTAGACTACAGACTAATTGTTGTTCTTCAGTTGTGTCCAACCCGTTTGAGGTTTTTTTTTTCCTTTTTTTAAATTAATTTATTTATTTTTAGTTTTCAACTTTCACTTCCATAAGCTTTTAGTTTAAAATTTTCTTCCCCTCCCTCCCTGATTCTCTTCCCAAAACAGCATGCAATCTGATAGAGGCTCTATATATACATTCCTATTAAACATATTTTCACATAAGTCATGTTGTAAAGAAGAATTACAACCAATAGGAGGAACCACAAGAAGAAACAAAACAAAACAGAAGAAAAAAAAGATCAAATAGTATGCTTCGAACTGCATTCCAACTCCATAGTTCTTTCTCTGGATGTGGATAGCATTTTCCATCATGAGATCTTTGGAGATGTCTTAGATCCTTGCATTGCTGAGAAGGGCTAAGTCTATCAAAGTTAGTCCTTGCACAATGTGGCTGTTACTGTGTACAGTGTTCTCCTGGTTCTGCTCACTTCACTCAGCATCAATTCATACAAGTCTTTCCAGGTTTTTCTGAAGTCTTCCTGCTCATCATTTCTTATAGCACAATAGTATTCCATTATATTCATATACCACAACTTGTTCAGTCATTCAATTTGGGGTTTTCTTAGCAGAGATGCTGGAGTGGTTTGCCATTTCCTTCTCCAGTTCATTTTAAGATGAGGAAACTGAGGCAAATAGAGTAAAATGACTTGCCCAGGGTCACAGAATAAGTGTCTGAGGTCAGATTTGAACTCAGAAAAATGACTTTTCCTGACTCCAGGCGTGGCACTCTATTCACTGTGCCACCCAGCTGCCCAGGCTCCTTGGGGACAGGGTTTTTTGTGCATTATACTTTGTATCTTCCATAGCATATAGCACATGAGGGCAATGTGTTATAGTAGAAAGAACACAGACTTAGATTCAGATCTAGACTCTACTACTTACTGGATGACTAGGGCAAATTATCTTACCTCTCTGGGCCTCAGTTTCCTTGTCCGTAAATTTGAGATTATAATACTGGCGCTACCTACCTCAGAGGTGTTCTGAGGCAGGTGTTTAAAAAACCACAAAATATTAATAAATATGAGCTAGAATAATAATGACAGTAAATGTTTGTTAATTTATTGATAGATGTTGATTAGAAAGGTAAATATACTAAATGCTGCAGGTCAAAGGGAGATCAGGAGTGGGGGATTGATCTTGCCTAGTAAGCCCAGCAAGCCAATGACAGATAAGAACAGGGGAGTATGTGGAGACAACTCCCCCCTCCTACTCCTTCCCTGACAGAATTTCCTTTTTTTTTTCAAGCCTTCCAGAGATGGGAACTGCTTGGGAGTTTCCAGAGATGGGAAATTCACTCACAGGAGGTTGGCCCTTTTTTTGGGAAGAAAGAATGAGTGAATGAAAAAGCATTTTTTAAGTCCTTACTATATGCAAGGGACTGTGCTCAACCTTGGTGATACAGATAGAAGAGCAAAACAGTCCCTCCCTGTGCACAAAGAACTCATTCTAACAGGGAGAGATAGCATGTATAGGTGAGACAGGATGAAAGACAAGATATCCCTCTTACCCATGGCACTATGACACAGAAGGTGAGTGAAACAAGGCTTCATGGGTACAAGAAGCAAACTTAAATTTAAAGAAAAAACACCTTTCTCGGACTAGTATAGATCCCAAAGATAAGCTAGAAAACCTGAAGCCTCTATTCCCTTAGGAACAATAGGCCTGTCTAGGGAGAGCTTATACCCAGCAGTGAGGAAGAACAGGAAAGGCAATGGGGTGTGGTAAAGTCTCTTCACCAGAATGATTGATGGGATGCCAGGCCAGAGGCTGAGATATACTTGCACAGGGTGGGAACAGCAGCACACTGGGAACAAACTAGTCAGGCAGAAGAGATGGGGCTGATACACGACATGGGGACAGGAGTCAGACGGAGGGGCAGGCACGGAGGAGACACTCATGATTCTTCTTTCCAATCTGCACTCGGGTGAGGGATATGTTTGGCACTAAATAACACATCATGGTTTTTAAGTGAACAATCGCACCTTTGGTTTATACGTGGGTTGGGAGCACATTTGGGGAAGGCAGACATCACTGCTAATGATGGGCTCCTCAGCAGGATCCAGGAAAATCTCTTCCATTTCCCAGTGACATATCACTGGCAAAAACAAACACAGATACAACCTACAGCTGGCAAAGGCCACACACACACACACACACACACACACGCACGCGCGCGCGCAGAGATACATGCACATGGTGACATGGCAGGCTGTCATACACAGACACATACACAGATGTAGTCACACAGACACACACAGGCACCATCATGTCAGATGGAATGCATGCCTCAGTACTCAATGTTCTGAGCTTATATGGACTAGGTTCCCCCAAATTATATCCTTTAGGCTTGTTTTGCCTTACCCAGACTATCCTATGGGGAACTCAAAATACAGTTTATGTCTAATTCTCCACAGGTGTGAGTAAAGGGTCCCTGTGCAAGCACTCAAAGTAACAATGCATGTCTGGTACAGGACAGCATTTATTTAACCCCACAGAAACCACAAAGTAACATAAAATACTCATAGCACCACAGATACAAATGATATTATTATCTTCCCCTTTCTAATATTAACTATTATTATGAAAGCCACCTTTACCCCCAGTGACTTATGAAGGACTCTAGCTCTAGAGTACTACCCCAAGAGCTTAGACTCTCCCCTAATGGAAATGAGCTTGAGGGTTGCTAAAGGGCCCATTGGACTGGTATCATTCAGATAATGTATATTATTAGGTGAGTACAAAGCCCAGTTTTTCTTCTTCTAGCTTAATCACTTCTAGATTTTTCAATCCAGAAACTCTTTGACACTCCTCCAAAAGTTGGGGTTCAGGAAATCTTACCACTTAAACTCAGTTCCCCTCTCCCCATGGTTGCAATCTCTTGGACTGAAAGGTTATAACACTGTCACTTCAAGCCTGAGACAAGAAGCTTTCCCATCTCTCTCTGGAAAATGATGTTATGTCTTCTCCTAGGGCCATATTGTTGACAGACCCCTCTGCTGCCACTTGCCACCATTTCTCAGGCCAAGCGGGAGAGAACTTATCCAACTAGGATCATAGATCTGGAGCTGGGCAAGATCACAAAAGCCATTTAGTCCAATTCTCTCATTTGATAAATGAGGAAACTGAGGTGGAGGGAAGTAAAGCAACTTGACCAAGGTCATGCAGGTGACAAATGCCTCCTACAAATGAACCTCTACCCAAAGGCTACCTTAATAGCTCCCAGAAAATGTGGACAGTCTACACATATACGAGGGCTTCTCCCCTCACTATACTCCACCCTGCAGCCCTGATTGACTCTTAAATAGGAAGGAAGGAAATAAAAATTTTTTAAGCAACTACTATGTGTTCGGTTCTGTGCTAAATATTTTACAAATTTTAATTTTGTAATTTTAATTAAATGATTTATGAATCATTTAATCCTTTCTTCTCCCCTTCCTCTCTTTCTCTTTTTCCCTCCTTCCCCATCTTCCTCTAACTAGATGGATGAAGGCCTATGAGATCCCTATTAAAGACCTAGCACAAAGGAGTGACTGATTGACAACAGCTAGAACCAAATACATCTTCCTCAAATACTAAGACTTTATCATTCATCCTTAATGAGATCTGAACAGGCCAAAATTACCCAGAAGACGTCCTCCATCCTCTCGATGAGGTACCCCTTGTCATGCCCATATCCTTCACAGGAAAATATCATCAAAGTCCCCCTAAAGGGCTCACCTCCATACAAATTCATCAAATTGATCAGGAAACACACCAATAGATACACAAAGATAGCTGCCCACAATGACACGTAAACACAGACACATGCATGTCACGCAGAGGCAAACGCAGAAATCCACATAAGAGTCACATGGAGAGAGATGCCTTGCCCTTTGAAAGGACAAGACAGGTTTCTGTAAGCGGTGACGCATGGGGACTCAAGATGCTTTTCAAATTACAGGGTATTTTTTCCCTTTCGACCCTCCCTCTCACATCCTTGAGATTAACTCAAATAACTCTCTATGTCTCTGCAGTTAAAAATCTGCCACAAAGAGTGACAAAATACCCCTTGAGCTCTGACTGGTTGAGGCAAAGGCTGAAAAAATGATTCCAAGTGGAAGGCTGAAGCCCTCTCATTCCTGCCTTTGTTATTCACTTAGAGACAGTGGGGAGTAGTAGAGAGAATACCAGACTTGGAATCAGGAAAACCTGGGTTCAAATCCCACTTTGAATACTGTGTTCTCTCATCTTAATGTCTTAATGGCTCCATGCCTCAGTTTCCTTGTCTGTAAAATAAAGGGGTTGGATTGGATGGGCTCTGCAGTTCCTTTCTGCTCTATATCTATGATCTATGATCCATTCACTCAACAAGTCTGTGCCGACTATGCACCCAGTCCTGTGTGGAGAAGAAGACATGGTACCTGCCTTGTGGTAGCTTGCCCTCTGACTAGGGAGAAAGGTGAGGCTTGAACACACACAGAAGTCTGACACTCTATCTGCCATTGAAGGAAGAGTATCTATGAGCAATAAGGTCCAGC